AGAGAACCTTTAACCTTTACTCTGACAGAACTGAGGATTCACCAAACAGTTTTGAACAACACAGACTTTCCACGGTAACAATACTACATTGCTTTCTTGCTCTAATAGATTGAATAGGGGCTTCAGGGTGGAACTTGGGAAACAGGAGATGGTCCTGCCTGGCAGGGCCAGAGTGGTAGCAAGGAAGTGATAAAAACAAAAGTAGATTCCAGGTATATTTGAAGGTTATGTCCACAGGATTTGCTAATATAATTTCAGTAGCTTAGGTAACCCAAAGTAGTTTCATCCAGGACCTTATTATAGAGGTTTTCCAATGTAGTGATCTTTAATAATAATGCAACTTTAATGACAGTACATTTCCCATGGCTAATAATTTAAACTTTCACTGGATGTGTTCTTACTCTTTTTGCTAATTATAGCAGATTTGCAGCCTAGTAGCTTTTCTTCACATTCAGATAGTGGATATTCAGTGACTTGTCTGGATATAGATTTCCTCTGTATGTAGATTTTGATTTCTATAGTGAGTTTTTGTCAAAGTTTTCTTCCTTTATACTCAGTAAAGAAAATAGAAGACCATTGCAACAGTCCATTCCTTTGAGAAAAATTTAGATTATTTAATCATCTCTTTTAGTGAGCCAAGAATATTCTCATTTTCTCCCTTGTTCTGGTTCTCATTCTCCTTCCCTCCCTCCTTCCCTGGCCCCCAAGTTCTTGGCATAGATCCAGAAGCATTGTGTTTCAAACATTCTAGAATTATATTAATAATACTTTTTTCTTTACTTGGTAGACATTTCTTTTTGAAATCAGAATACCTGAGTCTAAAAATGTTTGGTTCTATCAGGTTACATTTGAGTCTGTGGTGCCATGTGATGTGTAATAGAAACTGTTTGTTTTTAAGAAGCAGTTTCATATGAAATTGTGTAAAATGTAATTGTATAATTCTTTGAAGACTCTTGAGAGTCCCTTGGACTGCAAGAAGGTCAAACCAGTCAATTCTAAAGGAAATTAGTCCTGAATATTCATTGGAAGGACTGATGCTGAAGCTGAAGCTCCAATACTTTGGCCATGATGCAAAGAACTGACTCATTAGAAAAGACCCTGATGCTGGGAAAGATTGAAGACAGGAGGAGAAGGGAATGACAGAGGATGAGATGGTTGGATGGTATCACCAACACGATGGACATGAGTTTGAGCAAGCTCCGGGAGTTGGTGATGGACAGGGAAGCCTGGCGTGCTGCAGTTCACTGGGTCACAAAGAGTCAGACAAACTGCGCAACTGAACTGACTAACTTAAGTTTGGGAAGACATGTCTTCATAGTACAGCATCTCCCAACAGCCATATACATTCGGGGCCAGGTTCTTTGTTGTAGGGGGCTGTCCTTTGTGTTGCTACCTCTGCCTAGCCTCGACCCACTAGATGCCAGGAGCACTTCCCTGCTATGTGACGCTCAAAAATGACTCCCAACATTTCCAAATGTCCGCTCAGGCACAGAAGCCACCCCTGGTTGATGACCGCAGTCATAATATTCTAGTTCTCATGCTTTGCCTCGCTACAGGCATTAAATAGGGCCTGTATGCAAATTTCTTTTTTCTATCACCTTTCCTTTCATTCCTGTTTTTTTTCTCGTGAAAGGATGTGAAAACTTTCATTATGTTTCAGTGTTTTCTTCCTCTCACCCCTAAATGAAAAGTACTTTAGAAAGCAATAGTCCAGTTTTTGAGGTGAATGCAACTCCTGGCTCCTTACTGGCCTTTGTTGGCTCTGTTCAGCCATGAGAGAGTCACCGTTTTATTGTCTCTCCTGTCTCCCAGAGACGCCTCACAAAGCATCACCTGAGCAGGGAGAGAAAACCAAGCCTCAGGCCTTTCTGCACCACTGACCTACTGACATGTCTGATTTTAATAAGCCAAGTTGAAGTTAAGCCGCTTCTTTGAGAGCAAACTGCTCGACACACAAACACACAGTCCCTTCCTATTCTGAATAGGGCCTGTGCCCAGGAGGTTTGGGGGCTCTGGTTTAGTTCTCAGAACTGCAAAACCCCAAATCTCACAGCTGCTCAGCCAGGAACCTCCACCCAAGCATTTCTGTGTGTGCTTCCTTTAAATGGTTTCCTCACTAACCCGTGAACACGCCCGGCTGCTCTCTGGCCACCTTCTGGTATCAGTTCTCCTTTCACCAGCCGAGGGCCAGACTTCATTATAAATGGGTGTTCATCACTTCACACTAGTTGCTGTGGCATTGTGGATTTCTTACGGTATTTCTTCCTCCCTCACTCTTGACATTTGTCTTACATCTCTTACCACAGCTCCCCAAAAGTCCCTTGTGTTTATATTATATAGAACATTGAGAGTTTCCTTAATTCTGTTCTTTATTATAATAAGCACGCAGGCTTACCTTCTCTGTTACTTTTGTAAGATTGTCGAGCGTGATGTACATGTTCAGCTTGATCGTGGGGTTTTTAATACTTAGAAATACAAGATAAACTTAAAATGACCTTGCTTCTCTTTTTCCACCCATCCCCCATTTCAAAAAAAAAAAATCAACTCCAACTTTCTTTTGCTCGGTAGATGCGAGTACTTTCACTGCTGGTTCCCTTCTGAGCCAGCAGGAGCAAGCATGTACCATACAGCCAGTGCATTTGTACTGTCAGGTATAAAACCCTTCTAGCTGTAGTAACTCTTGCCACTGATATCAATTCACTGTGAATCCCAGGGCAGGCAAAGAAGGCTCATGGCATTAGGTTGCAGGATTGCAATGCTTAGCAAACTACCAGTGCCTGTCTGTGCTGTGCTCCGTTTGTGGTTTGCCAAGCAAGATTCCCTCTCAGCTTGTCTTCACATATTTGCTCATAAGAGCTCCCTCTCTGCAGACTGCAAAGCCCCAGGTGGGCTGCAGCCAGCTTTAACCAGATCAGAGCAGGGTTGACATTGGAGGGGAGCAAAACTTGCCACCCCCACAATGTGTCTGTTTGACTTGAAGATTATTGGGGGCTGGTTGTTTTTAAGAAGCAAAAGACTCAGGAAGTCTTTCTTTTCACCTCCCCCTTAACCGCCTGAAACAATTTAAAGGGTCTGATCCAGGAAGAGTACTAGCACCAGAGATGTCTGCAGAGAATGTGGGCTAGGTGTGGTGGGGGAACTCAGCAGGCTAGGGAGACCGAAGTCCCCTCTGCATCCCATAGTCTTGCTAGCAAGCATCTGTTTCCCAAACATTTGTTTCTCCATCTCCATGTGAATTGCCTTCCTCCCCTTTGAGGTCCCCAACCCCCACCCTCTTCCCCTTCTCTCAGTTGGCTCATAAGTTCCAATTGCCCAGCTTGTCCTTGAGCCTCCTATTCCAGAGGATATGAGGCCATATTCCCCTTAGGTATTGGAAGATCCCCTGGAGAAGGAAATGGCAACCCACTTCAGTATTCTTGCTGGGAAATCCCATGAGCCTGGTGGGCTACAGTCCATGGGGTCTCAAAAATGTCAGACACAACTTAGTGACTAAGCTGTTCTAGTCTTAACTGTTCATGTTCCTCATTAATAGTTTGCAGGTTGCCTTAATGGGAGTGTATATATGAAAGGATAAAGGGGGAAATAAACCTTTGTCATGCCTGTTAAGACACAATCTTGTCAATCTTTAAGTCAAAATCTGGGCTTTCTGAAATTGTGTTTGATGTTAACTTACAGACACATTAAAAGCATCACTTTCCTGAAATTCACACTTCAAATTTAGGATAAATTTTAGAAAGTGATACTTCCTTTAAAATATTTGCCGTGACATTAAATAGTCAGTTCCTCAATTACACAAAAAATTCAACATAATTTGCAATCACCTATTCATGAAAGCGTCTATGGTGTAAAGATAAACATGGTGATTAATAAGCTCAGTACAGAGAATTAAAACGGAAGTTTTCTACCAGAATGAGTAACTTGAGAAATAGCATGTCTCCTTTTCTGCCTTTTTCTAATGTAGAGAATTCTACTTTGGTGTAGTATATTTTATTTAAATAGTGTTATAAAGTGATTTTTTTAATAGTGATTTTCAGAAGTTACATATATTTTTAAAACTCCTAAGTGAGGTAAGATTTGACACAGCATTGCTTATGTTAAATGAGAACTATTGATCAGCTTCTCAATTCCTCTTAGTCTAATGAGTTTTGGTTTTAAAACTTATGTAAGAAAGTATTGCTGTAACTGTGGAGAAACCTGGGTGTCTTAGGAAGTCTTTTGGTTGACTTCAAGTTAATATCTGATTCTCATGTCTATAAAATTACTAGATTAGACACCCTTGTTTACAGCCAACACTTAAGGAGTCACCTGGAGTTCCCAGGTCTTCCTTTGTCCCTGCAAATTAAAAATAATCAGCCAGAAATAAGATTGCTGCTATAAAAGAATAGTTGTATACTATAAATATTTGAAGCCAGCATGTATTTTTTCACATGTTTCTCTGAACATTTTCTTCTCTCAGTTAAACACTGAAGTAAAAAAAGGAGAAAAATTGTTTACTGTTTTCTATTCTTTTTCAATGAAAATCACACAGATTTGTTTCTGTGTAATGTGAATTGTTTCTACATTTTAAATTCTGGAATGAAACATGCTATGAGATGAAAGGCTTAGGAGTGCTATGTGAACTGACTTTGAACTAACTTTAAACTTCTTTTTGAGCACTGAAGAAATTACCATGTAGGGAATAAATGAGTCTTTAAGCAGTGTCTAATGGAGTAGCAGGTTACAGTTCAGGTTTATTCAGCTTCAATTTTGTTCAGCTGTTTATGTTTGGTTCTTATCCGAGCAATTGCAAGTACCATAGGAGCAGAAATAGGAAATAGACTAAAGCTCCAAAGTTGCTTATGGTCTCTTTAGGAAGATAAACACACATTCTTTTTTATTTTTAATTATATTGTATATAATACAGAATATAGCCATCATCATTTGTCTTATAAGATTACATCTAAGAAAGAAATGACCATAAAGAAAGGCTTATTCTTTAAATATTTAGGTAGATATTGGAGAAAATTTTAGATGACTTATTTAACTATGCACTTCAGTGTTTTCATCAGTTAATTGGCATACATCAGGGTTGTGATGATTAAAATAATAGATGTGAAACCTGTAAGCAGAGTGCCTGGCATATCGCACATGCTTAGTAAATGAGAGCTACTCATAGTAGTAACATCATCTGGCTTAATAATAGTACCTATGAATTACATAGCATTTTTCTGTTCTACGAATGAAGAAATTAACACTTACAGAGGGTGATTTCCCTAAGATTGTCCAGCTAAATAAGAGTTGGAACTAGGATTGAATCTAGGCACTCTTAACTCCAGAGACCAGTCTCAAAATGGTGATACTTTTATACTGCCTATCATTCATTCATTTATTTCACAAAAATTAATTGAACACATTTACATGCTAGATACTGTTTGTCATTAATAACATTATTTATATTGAATACAGAGGAAAATCAACAAAATGTGAAGACCATATAATGACATTTTGTCAATTATTTTGTCAATTATTTTGACAAAGCCTAATCCAAATATTTAAGCATATTTATAAATAACATCTACTTAATAAATACTGGAATCAATGAATATTGCTTCTCCCAGGATCATGGACCAGATAATACCAAATAAATAATGTGTTTATAAGACCTTAGATTTTTTTACAGTGAGTTATTCATACACTTAGATAGGACTTAAATGAGAAAATTTCTTATTCACTTCTTTCTTTTACTCATTTTAAACAACAATACATTACCCATACATTGTAGTCTAATTACTAGAAAGTAGGAAAGTCATAAACCATTTGCTGCTTTATCCTATAGTTTTGAATTATTGTGCTTTGCATAGAAGCATCCATGGTTGAGTTTAAACAGAAAATCATCTGGTGGTTTCATATGTGGTGGCCTCCTTGCAGTATACTTGTCTTTTGCCTCTGTAAGTCTCTGCCATCTCCATAAAGTGAGTTTTATGTTTGTTGGTTGGTTGATTTTGTTTTTAAAAACCAAAGAAGCTTTCTTAGTGCCCATTATCAACGAAGCTATGACCTGTTAAACCCGTCGTTTAGGGGCCCCAGTAGGGTCATATGAACACTTCTGTTTGGTGGTATTTTCCATTCAGAAATCAATCAGAGGGTTGCAGATGGGGTGCATCAGGTTTTGTAAAGAGACTGTATAGTGTCTTCTTGAATGTTTTATCTAAAAAAAGAAATATAATGGGGTCTGTGCTGCTTCTGGCTGATGCAAGGCAGGTGAGGATGTTTTTTATTTCAATTAAGTGATTCAGTTGCTGACAGTCCAATCTTCGGTATACAACAAAAAAAATGGGTTTAAAAATACTGTATGGAAGGAAGCAAACTATTAGTAGAATCTGAATGACCAAAAGGTGCCTTTTCACAGAGCTGTAAGTCAGATCTTTCTCTGTAATGGATGTACAAGTCCTTATTTTTCTCAGATGGTTGACAAAAGAGTAGTATGATGTTAGGACAACTAAAAATGAAAACCCAATGAATGTGGTTCCAATGAGGCCTGCAGTCTGAGAGATCTCAGCTCCTAGTTCCATCTGTAAATTATAGCACTTCGTCTCTTTCCCTTTTGTAGCCTCTTCAACCGAGTAGTATATGATAATTGGAATAATTATACCTAGAACAACTATCCATATGTAAACACATAGTTTTCTAGCAAAGTTGGGCTGGCGAAATTTTTTCAGTAAGTGGCCGTAAAATACTTTCTCGTAGCACGAAGTGGTCTCTTGTGTGGAATCCTTTTTCATTAAGGTAGCATAGCGGCTTATGGCAATCCAGCTTAAAATTAAGAGGCTGACAAACATACTTACATGCATGGATAGAGTTCCCAAAAAATTGACCACCCTGCATTGTGAAGAATGATATTCCCACTGAAAACCTTTCAGGAAATAGATACCCATGAAAGGCATGGCAGTGCACACAAGTAAGTTTGCAGTCACAAGATGTGCTAGGTAGATGTGTGTTGATGTTTTCTTAGCTATTTTTGTTAAAAATATCCACTGGGAGAGAGAATTTCCAAACAGACCAATGATACAAAGGAAGGTATAAATGATCGGTAAAGCCATGTAAGAGATCTTGGATGGTTGAATACATGTTGAGTTGTTACTCATTTATATCAGATTTCCTTGAATTTTGCCACAGGAGCTAGAACAGAGTTGCAGATATTTAATATTAAAATTACAAATGGCATTTAAACTGAATAGTTTTTTTAAGCATTGGCTAAAATAGTAACATAAATATAGTGGATGGAAAGGGAAAGTATAGATGGCTTCTCACCTTTTCTAATCACGATTGTCCAATTGAAATAAAAGCAGGAAGTTGATTATTGTGGATGGTGCCTTTGTCTAAAGAATAAAATTTGATAGAAATAGTTAAATGCCTGAGATTTATTCTTTTATACTAGAGAAATGTGTAATTCTTATACTAGATTTAAGGTAGTTTGTAAAAGACAATTGATTTTGGCCTAGGAAGGTAATTTTTAGAATTTTAAGGCACATGCAAGCAATACTTAACTGGCCAAAGGAAACTGTTGCAAAAGTATTTTGTGGTCATGTTAACAGAAGACCAATTTTTAATTACCACCTTGCTACTGCTGCTGCTAAGTCGCTTTAGTCGTGTCCAACTCTTTGCTACCCCATAGATGGCAGTCCACCAGGCTTCTCTGTCCCTGGGATTCTCCAGGCAAGAATACTGGAGTGTGCTGCCGTTTCCTTTTCCAATGCATGCATGCATGCTAAGTCACTTCAGTCGTGTCCGACTGTGTGACCCTATGGACAGCAGCCCACTAGGCCCCTCTGTCCATGGGATTCCCTAGGCAAGAATACTGGAGTGGGTTGCCATTTCCTTCTCCAAATTACCTCCTTAATTGTCCATAAATACTTTTTAAAATGGTATATTTTCATGGCTAAATTAAAGAGCTTCTCTCTAATCCAATACTATTAGAAGAGTCTCTTTTCATATTTCAAAAGTAAAGTTAATTCTGTATCAACATTCAGGCAAGATCTTGAATTAAACAGAAGAAAAATGTAGTGACCAAGGATAGACACCAGGATACCAGGGTCCTTACCGGATGTCATCAGTAATTTCTTATTTCAGGTATTTAATGCTCATCTATCATACTTTAGTAAAAATTTAGTTTAAAATTGTGAATCAAACTGTAGTTGCTATTGCTTGTTGATTAGAGCGCCCTCATGTGTCTTTGTGTGTAACTTAGTACCTTGGTTTTTCAGAGAAGTGTTTTGTTTTTTTGTTTTTTAGAAGATACTTTAACCACAGTATAAATGCAGGTATGATTTGGCCTTTTTAATGTCTTGTTTTTAAATGTCTCTTACTTCAAAAGGTACACATACAGACTCCTTTTCATATTTTTCTCATTCCTTTATCTTTCTTTTAGTTGGAAATAAGAAAAGGTTTTGGATTCTGGTCAAATAAAAACCATGAGCTCCTTTCAGAATGTGCTTCAGTTCTCCGTATTTTTCACCATACATTTCTAAGTACCACATTCTCCACTCTTATAATCTAGAATAAGGATACTCAGTTTTCTTCTTCTCATTCTCTCTTTTGATAACCACAAATTTTTTTTGCTGTACGGTGCCTTCTGAGATTCCTATATGCTCCTAGCCCCTCAGGAATATTTTACTCTTTACCCCTTTTCAGAATCAGATTATATTTTTTGCATCTTAGATTAAAAGTAGGGATTTTTCCCAAAATATACCACTGTAATTTTGAAATTACTTTTTAAACCAATCTTCACTCAAAGGCTTGAAAGCTTGAGTATCTCTAGGTTCAAGTACTAAGACCCTTAATGTCTACCAGTGTCTATCATGTAATTTTGTTGCTTTGCAATTTTTATTTAGAAAATGATGCATATGCTTCAGAGTGAGTTTTTATCTGAGTCCAGTACAGCCTGGCAAATGGGAATTGATTTAAAAATCAGAGAGTGAAATTAGCCAGTTTATTTCTTAAGGAAAAAAATTATCTGATCAAAGTGGTTGTTTATATTACATAAGGAATGAAACTTCCTTTTGTGATGATGTTAAAGAAAAACACTATACATGTAAATCCATGGCTAATTCATTTCATTGTATGACAAAAACCACTGCAATGTTATAAAGTAATTAGCCTCCAACTAATAAAAATAAATGGAAAAAAAAATGAAAAAAAAAAAAAGAAAAACACTAGCTACTGCCTTGTATAGATAATGCGTTGTGTACTAAAATCTATAAAGGTGGTGCTTTTGTATTAATGGATAGTATTCTTTTTTAAAAAAAAAAGCTAGACCACCACATAGAGTATCTGTCATCATCTTATTCATTACCATTGCCTTGCTTTTCTATTTTATCCTAGCAGATGCTTCAGAACAGAGGAGAGGTAAAAAGACCTTCACAGAGGCTAGCTTTATAGGATGGATGACCTTGAGACTCTAGAGGAACCTTCAGTATAACAAACAACAACTAGTTGACCATCTTTAGCTTGCCAAACATCAAGCTTGTATCTACTATGTACCTCTCCTTTAAAAGTAAAGTTTGATTATAAAACGGCTAGATAATCTTCTAAAATGTAGAAACCATAAGGCTTAAGAAATCAAATAACAATCACATGTTATATATACAGAATGGCTCTTTAGAAAATGTGTGCAAGTCTGCGTTCCACTCAGCAGAATGCCTGTCTTGAATCAGTCCTGTAACACATTGTACCTCTGCTAATTTGACAAATGAAAGACGTCTACAATTCTAACTTTAGCTACTAACGGTTACCTACATAATTAATATGCTGACCTTTCTTAGTGATCAGTTTTAAAATGTAAACATTTTAATCCTGTTAAGAGTTTTTCTATAAAGAGTTAACTTTTAAGCTCAAACTGAGTGATCAGTCTTACCTGTATCAGTAGTTTATGCCAGCCAAGGCTCTGTTGTTCAGGATGGTGATGCTCAATTTCAGATTTATAATTCTCTGATCATCAGTCTTCCATTATCTTTCAGTTTTACTCAGGGAGAATAGATTCTTGCATGACACCAACTACAGTGGGAAGAAAGGAAATTAAACACAGTATTGAAGAAATTCGATAGTTATGGTGAATGTAGCAACTACCTTCTCAAAAAAAAAAGCTCATTTCTCTATTTCTATAGTGGGAGGAAGTTGGTGGACAATATATATACTGTGCTTCCTTATTATTATTTCATGAACCGGTTACACCTCACTTAGCTTCATTAGCATGCTTGGCAGAAGTTAAGTTCAAAGGTTTAGTCCCCGTGACTAGTTACTTTTATAAAAATACAGTGGTAGAGGGAACCATTCCATAGTAACCCTCTAAAATATTGGTACAAACTTATCTGTAAAATAATTTGTGGGTGGCTTATTTGCAACTCAGCTTTATAGTGAATAAAGGGAAGCAGAATTCAAAGTTGTTTTCCTTGTAGGAGGTTACTGGAATCAAATATCATAGAACTGGGGGATAAAGAAGTGAGGCCCAGAGTAGTACACTGTAAGCACAGACTACACTCAAAGGTTTTGGTCTCATCTTGGGGTGTGTGTGTGTGTGTGTGTGTGTGTGTGTGTGTGCGCGCGCACTCAGTTGCTATGTCATGTCCAACTCTTTGCGACCCCATGGACCGAAGCCCACCAGGCTCCTCTGGCCATGGGATTATCCCAGCAAGAATACTGGCATAGGTTGCCGTTTCCCCAGTAGACTAACCCATTCTACTTCAGGTTGTCCTCTGCTGCCTCCATTCAGATTTAAAAGCAGTACATTGTTTGGAGCATTTCATTATGAATTTGGGAAATCCTGAAAAGTGCCAGAACTGAAGACCAAATATGCCTCAAATAAAATCAATAGTTATATTACAATATAAAGAACTGTGAAACCAACTTGATGTATAGGACTGTTTCATCAGTCTATTGACTATTAACTAAATGAATGCTAAGTACCATAGTTAAACAAGTGGGAGTCTGAGGATGGGAACAGCAATCTGATTTCATCAGGCTCAAGCACTTCAGTTATCTGTAACAATCTTCATTTAAAATTAAGAAATATACTTTGCCATTTCTCATAACCTGTCATGCTCATCTTATTTCTTGTGGATTAGATAAATTCACCCTAATGCTTGCTAATATTTCTCTTTAAAATAGTAATGAGGACTACCTGAATGTCTGGATTTTGTTCTGCTGTTATTCATCTTTGCAATGCTTGCCATCATTTAATTAAGAACAGTGACTCATCTGGGGGTACATGGGCATTGATTGCAGAATAATCTGGCCTCGGGAATTCCTATCATTTTTATTTCAGCAATTTTTCGTGTTCCAGGAAGAAATTATTTAGAACAAAAAATAGTCTAGATGTCCATCAACAGATGAATGGATAAAGAAATTGTGGTAAATTTATACAATGGAATATTATTCGGCCATAAAAAGGAATGAATGTGTGCCAGTTGTAGTGAGGTGGATGAACCTAGAGGCTCTTTTACAGAGTGAAGTAAGTCAGAAAGAGAAAAACAAGTATCGTATATTAACACATATATATGAAATCTAGAAAAGTGGTACTGATGAACCTAGTAGAGAATGGACTTGTAGACGCAGAGGGGGAGTGTGGGACAAATTAAGAAAGTAGTTTTGACATACATACACTATCATGTGTGAAATAGTGGGAAGTTGCTAAATAACACAGGGAGCCCAGCCTGGCACTCCGTGATGACCTAGAAGGGTAGGATAGAGAGAGGGAAGGAAGGGATATATATAGACTGATTTGCATTGTTGTACGGCAGAAAGCAACGCAAAATTGTAAAGCAATTTTCTACCAATTAATAAATAAAATTTTTAGAAAACAGTTTGAAATAATTTAGAGAAGAAAAAATGTAAAAGGAATCCTATTTACAAGTGATTGAAAGATAATTTTAGTATTACCTTTTTGAGGGTTAAGCACCTTTGGTCCAAGAAAAAAAAATGTCCTTACTCTCTACAACTTATCTTCCATTGTCCCCAAACTCAGTAGATGACACCATCACTTCTTCAGCTATTCAAGCTAAAAACCTAGGAATCATCCTGATTCCTCTCTTTCCTTCACATCTCACATCCAGTCAATTGTTGCTACTTCAGCTTCTATCACCACCACCACTAGTATTAGCCTCATTTAATGAAAGCCTGTTATGTGCCAGGCATCCAGTTAAATGCTTTACATGCATGTCTTATTTAGTCTTCACATTACTCTGTGAAATAAATACTATGAAATAAGTATCTTCATTTTATAGTTGAGGAAAACTGAACCTCAGAAAAGTCACATAAGTTGCCCAAGGTCGTGTAGCCATCTGTCCTCACAGAGCAAGTAATTGAAGAGAACAAGGCCATAGTTTCAATACCTTTTTTTAAAAAATCTAGCTTCTAAAGTCAACACCATCGCTTCTGCAGTATTCTGTTGGTCGCCTAAAGCCAGCAGTGATTCAGTGTGGGAGGTATAAATATCAGGAGGTGGTGGTTGTTGGAAGCCATCTTGGATGCTGGCTACCACAGATGGCAATCAACCATTGAACCAAGGAAGAGTCAGAAGTATTGCTTAAAATGGTAGTCAGATGACATAATTTATCTGGCAAAAATGCCTGGATAGGTGTAATTTTCACCTTTTCTTCCTCTATTTTGATTTTTTTTAATGCTCTGTAGTTTTCTTAAACAGTGCAATTCATTTCACAAATGTTTATTGGCGTTCTTGCTGTGTTTCCAGTAGTGTGTGGAGGTCACTGAAGAAGTATAACATGCCCAAGGTGGCACAACTAATAAATTTACTTTAAGGCACATGTTTGGGGTTTTTGTGTTTTTTTTTTCCAACCTCACCCTCTACCTTAGCAGCAATTACTGGTTTTTCTCTAGAGTCAATAAGGGTAAGTAAACTAGAGTCAAGTTTTCAATACTTTTATTCATAGACAGGGTTTCTAGGCTCTGAGGTAGCAGAATTGACTGGGAGAACTCAAGTCCATTTTATTCTTTCTTGGAAAACTTTGGACTTCATTAAGCTAATTTTTATTCCATCAATATCAGTATAGTCTTTATGATTTTAGTGATTTTGAGTTCCCTAATTGAAATAGAAGGAAATTTTTATTTATATTTTTCTAAGACACTGGGCAGTATGCATGCAATTGGTAAAAGGTGTGGATGTCAGAGAATTACCAGAAATATAACTTAGGCAGAAATGTCCAGAACTGCAAGTTCTCTGTCAAAGTGGCCCCTTGGACTTTTCTCATTTAGGTCACCTATAGTTTTCTTTGGTTCTCATTCATCTTTCCCATGCTTCTCTTCTTCAAAGTTCTGCTTCTGTTTCCAAGTCTAAATGCTCTTGCCTAACCATTCTAATTACTTCCTATATTCTCTGCCAAATACTGGCTTCCTCAGTGTTCTGCTCTGACCCTTATGATTTACTCCTTGAGGTATTAGAGTAATTCCCCAGAGTGTAAGTCCTGCCATGTACGAAGTTTCCTGCTTTTGAGATGTTAGATGTTCAAAGGGCAGGCATGCTCCAATGCAGTTTGACAATCCACAGTGAGCTGTATTCAGCAGGGGTATATAAGAGCTTTCCTGGCGGATCACTGGGATTAGGACAGGGTCCCTTTTCAACTTGCCTCAGAGCCAGAACCCAGAGGACACAAGACAGCTCAGTCATACCTGCACCATTGTGCTTAAACTAGACAGTTATTTTGACCTACCAGTTAGTGTCTTCTAAAATGGCAACAGTGGGTCTTTAAAGCCCTGTCTCTGATGACTCAGAAGCTCAGGGCATTGGGAGGCTGGTGTGCAGTAAGAGAAGACTTATGCCTTATGTGGTCCACATTAGAACTTCACATTCAAAAGGTAATTATTTCTTTAAGGGGGAGTGGGGTGAGGGGGCAGTGGAAGCCTTTATCCAGTTCACCGCACACCCGAGCCAGCAGTTACCTTTAGGAGGAGCGAAACAGAGACCTGTTACTCAAAGCTGTGGTTTGTTCAAGGCTCTCTGAGGTCCCTGCTCTCTTCAGGATGTGGTGTCTGACCACAGCCCTGTCTCTGTCTCCAGTTGCACTGTGCTCAGGCCTCACCATCTACCATGAGCAGCTGTAATCATGGCCGTCTCACCCTTAATCAGGGTGTGAAGATCCTCTACTTGCTGCTACAAGCTGGCTTAGGAGTATTTCCCTCAAGAACTGTTTAAAAAAAAAACAGCAGAAATTATAGTCCAAAGTGTGGAAATGTATAATAGCACAGAAAAGTGATTACCTCTGGAGAAGGAAATGGCAACCCACTCCAGTACTCTTGCCTGGAAAATCCCATGGACACAGGAACCTGGTAGGTTACAGTCCATGGGGTCGCAAAGAGTGGGACACGACTGAGCGACTTCACTTTCTTTCTTTTCTTTTGTAAGAAAGCTCTAATGACAAAAAATAAAATGGAACTGCCAGAGTTTCACTATACTTTACCTTTGGCTTTTGTCTTTCCAGATACGCTTGAATGTACTGGGTACATTGTCTTCTAGAAATGCACACCATCAAAACATGGTGGCAGTCATTAGAACTAGAATCTCCACAGAGGGGGCAGTTGGAAAGCAGATGGGAAATTAGCAGATTTTAGGGAGAGGGAAATTTCAGCATTGGATTAGATGAGGCAAAGATATTTTTGAGGACAGTCAAATTTTGAATTTCAGCATCTTTGAGTCAGTCAATTTTGTTCATATCATGCTTCAGAACCTACCTACCTTTTTGTTTTCAAGTTCTTTGACAAGCCAAAAGTAGACTAAAATTTCTGAAAATGGAATATTGGATGATAGAATTCTTAAAATAATTTAGGCCATTTTATTGTCACAGGTATAAAATATATACGTACACCTATACCCTAGTGACTTGGATTATGACTTGCAGTGAGATTTAGGGAGTTAAAAAGGCATCATGTATCAGTGCCCAGAACCCTCATCATTGCCACTTTCATCCAAAGACCATTTCCTGGCCATTTTATTACCAGTCACTTCTTTGGAATTTCTAATAAGATTGTCTGGAGGGTAAGTCTGCTGCTCTGTATCACTATCTTTATTCAAGGGGAAAAAAGATGTCAAAGGAAGATGAGTAAGAGTTGAGTATCTAAGGTCTTACATCCTATACCTATTAGTGTCTATATTTATTTTCTCTTATTAAGAGCCCCAAGTATTGCAGTAACAAGCTTTCCTGAGAACCACTTTTAGGAAATTTAAAATAATAACAAATGATAACCACTGAAGTGCTTTTATCTATACTAATTCATTTAATTTTTATGCTATATTTAATTAAAGTATCTCTGAGATGGGTACCATTATTACTGTCATTTCCTAGGTGAGGAGACTTAGGTCCATAGAAGATAAATAACTTGTTGATGGTACTACAACTGGTATATTGTAGGGCTATTACTGAAGTCACTGGTGGTGTGACTTCAGATCCCATATTCTTCACTGCTACCAGAATCTGGACTGTTTAGGTAAAGGTGACCAAATATCCCTGGTGACCAAAACTGTATCAGGTTTCAATCTGGACATTTATTA